ATTGTCTTGATCTTTCCTCTCAAAGAGCGATGAGGTACTCATTATTCTCTAAGAGTCACACAGAAGTGAGTTAAGGTTGTTAGATCTTGTAATAGTCTACAGTGTAAGCAATACTACTTCCACACCTTTGATTGTGCTCTTATACCTCCTTAGAGCCTTCCTTCTCCCACATCAACTCAGCAATTTCTTGCTTTTCCTTAAGTTCCAGCCCAGATGCCTCCTCCTCTCTTCTGTTTTCCATGACATACGTTTTATTTTATTATTATTATTATTTTTTGGTGAGGATGATTAGTCCTCAGCTAACATCTGCTGCCAATCCTCCTCTTTTTGCTGAGGACGATTGGCCCAGGGCTAACATCCTGCCCATTTCCTCTACTTTATATGGGACACTGCAACAGCATGACCTGACAAGCAGAGCATATGTCTGTGTCAGGCATCCAAACCCCCGAACCCCGGGCTGCTGAAGTGGAGCATGGGAACTTAACCACTGCACCACGGGGCTGGCCCCATCACATAGATCCTTTTAAACCTCGTCTGTTCCTCCTTCATTCCTGATATCACATTGTGGAACACTCAGACTTCACACATCCGACTCGACTCTAAATGTATTTGTCTGTGGGTCTCCAGCTGGATGGTAAACACCTGAGGTGGACTCTTGAACCATCTCTTGTTATCATCATGCGTGGAATGGAATACTCCATCGGTGTTTTCTTTTTATTTCTAGGAATCTCTTCTTACATTTAAATTTTGTTTTGTAATTATGCAAAGTATTTATGGTCCAGAATAAATTCTACAAAGTGAAGCGTCTTTAAGGAAGTCTTGCTTCTACTCCTGTTCCTTCCGTGTGTGCCCTCCCTCCCCCACAGATAGTCGACTTTATAATCTAAGGTTTTCCTTCCAACCGCTATTTTAAATATAAATGTATTTGTGTTTGCATATTTGTAGCTCTTTTTTTCTTAGATAAATGGTTGTATACTAACACACTTTGCTCCAACTTGCTTTTTTTCACTCAACGGTTGATCCCAGAGCTCACTTCACAGCAGGGTGTTCAGATAGTCTTCATTCCATTTTCAGCCACAAAGAAGTCCACTCTGTGGACGTAATATAGCTTGTTCAGCCAGTCCCCTATTGATGGACATTCGGGTTGTTTCCAGGCTTTCACTATTAAAATAATATTGTGCACTTGAAAACAAGGAGTTTTTTTTTCGAAGAGGGGTTGAGCGTTTGATGCGTGTCTATAAGATCTACCTTATTGATTTTGTTTAGTTATTTCATACTCTTATTAATTTTTCTCCACATGTTCTCTCTTTAAATACAAAGTGTGTTCAAGTCTTCCGTTATTGGTTTGTTTCTTTTTTATTCTCGCATCACCTGTAGGTTCTGTTTCTGAAGTTTAGCTGTGCAGTTATATTTTCATGGTGGCCTTTACCATAATAAACTATCCCGCCCTGTCTCCTGTAATGCTTTGTGTATGACTCTAACTTGTTTGATATCAAAATTGTGGCCCCTGCTTTCTTTCATTTGCATTTTCTATGATGTATCTTCCTCTATCTTTTTTTTTTTTTTTTTTTGGTAGGGAATAGTAGCCCTCAGCTAACATCTGTTGCCAATCCTACTCTTTTTGCTGAGGAAGATTGGCCCCGGGTTAACATCCGTGCCCATCTTCCTCTACGTTGTATGGGACACCTGCCACAGCATGGCTTGATAAGCGGTGTGTATGTCCGCGCCCAAGATCTGAACCCGTGAACCCCAGGCCGCCGAATCCCAGCACGCGAGCTTAACCATACGCCAGCAGCTGGCCCCTATCTTCCTCTCTTCTTTTACGTTTAACTCTCTGAAGCTTGTTGTTTTAGTTGTATCTCTTGTCTACAGCATAGTATTGGGTGTTTACTTTTTAGCCAATCGGAAAATCGTTTTCTTTTTGCCTGTGAGTTGAGCCTATTATGTGTGTTGCTATGATCATTGATCAATATGTTTGGCTTTATTCATGTAGTTTTATTATATATAAAGTGATATACATATATAATATAATAAACAGTGATATATATAATAAATAGTGATATAAAACATATAGTGAATTATATACTATAATATACATGTTAAATACATCTCTATCTCTGTATCTCTGTATCTCACCTTTCACTATTTGTTTTAGTCCCTCTCTCTTTCTCTCTCTCTCTCAGTGTGTCTTTTGATGTATAGAAAGATTTGTATTTTGTACTAACGGTTACCTTCATATAAATATCTTTATATAATACCCCGTGAGTCTGATTTTTTGGCTATTGTCAGCTGATTCTCTACTTTCAGAAACATTGAAATCACCTAGGTACTTCTTCATCCCCTGCTCCTTCAGCATCAGATTTGAACCCCCAATTAATACCCAGAGGCAATCAGCAAAATTTTTACACTTTATGTATTCTCTCTCATTTTCTTCCGTTTTTTGAAAATTGTACTACATCTACGTGGTCAGTATGTAGCCGTTACACATCATATTGCCTGTCTCATGTTCATCACTCATTTTTACTTCTACAAATAATCCGTATGTACATCATGTGTACGTACATATACATATGTACGTCTATCGAATGCCCTCTGCTAGTCCTCGTGTAGATGTCCCTCCAGTATCTTCACTCATTTAGGTTGTTGTAGCTCGTTCACTAGTAAATTCCTCAGGACAGGCCATGGGGAGAATATTCACTGAGGTCTTCCATGTTCACAGTAGTTTATCTGTGGCCTTTATACCTGGAGTTCAGTTTGGCTGGATATCAAATCCTTGGCTCACATTTTCCTTTTTCAGTGTCTTTAGAATGTTAGTCCATTGACTTCTGACACAAAGTGTTGCCATCAAAATGTGTGAACACAATCCAGTTCCCTTTTCCTTATAACTGACATGGGTTATTTGCCTAGGTCTTCAATGATTTTTTTTTTCTTTTTCTTTAAAATCCAGTAGTTTTAAAACCCTGCGTCTCAATTTTGAGCATTGTGGGCTGATTTTTCCAGATGTATCCAAGTGAACCTTTATTTCAATTACAGTTCTTAGTCTTCATTGTGTTTCATAATTTTGTTTTTCTTCTTTGAATATCTATTATAAATACTCTCTGCCTATTTTGTATGTCACATTTTCCTGCAAAACCCTTTACTTCTTTCTTCATTTCATTAACAAGATTGCTTTGGAAATTCAGGGTCCTTTGGATTTCCATATAAATTTTAAAATCAGCTCAAAGCATCTACTGAAAAGTGACCGGGGATTTTGATCAAGATTGCAGTGAGTCTTTAGATTGTTTGAAGGAGAATTGCCATCTTAATAAGATTGAGCCTACCAATCCAGGAATGTGGCATATATCTCCATTTATTTAGATCTTCTTTAATTTCTCTTCATAAAAGTTTGCAGCTTTAGGGGCAGAGGTCTTCCACATTTTTGTGAGTTTTTTTCTCTCAGCATCCTATGTTTTTGATGCTTTTGTAAATGGAATTGCTCTCATTTAAATTCAATTATGTCGTTTTTTGTTGCTAGTATGTAAAATACAGTTAATTATGTACACGGACCTTATATCTCATGTCCTTGTTAAATTCACTTCTTAGTTTCAGGGGTTGTTTTGTAGTGTGGGAGCCCAACTTTCTGGTAAGTTCTCACTCCAAGTGAGTAACTGATGCTCTATCTCCATTCTCTTTCTCATCAGTAAGCCTGCCCCCTAGCTCCCTCTCTAAACTTTGGCTTCAGTGGGGCTCTGGGGTTGAGGGGTAGAGTACATCTTAGTAAAACTGTCCTTTAGGGGACGTGTCCCCATTTCAACCGCAGATACCTGCATCTAAAGAAAAGCTCCATGGGCTCAATCTTATTCATATAAATAAAAGCACAGGGGAAAATATTGTGTACAACCCTGAGTGCACAAATGTGTAGAAAAATATTGAAAACTAAACATATCGAACAGAGAGTTTTGTTGAGAAACTCCTCTAGAATGTCGGCTCCACTAGTGCAGAGAGTTTTGGGTGTGTTGGTCTCCACTGTCACCCCAGCGCCTTGAACAGTGTCTCCTACAGAATAAATGCTCAATAAATACTTTTCAATTGAATGAATGAAGAGATGGGCACTTGGGAGGATGAATGAAAGCAGACTCACTTTTCAGTGAACACATTGGGCCCCCATTTCCGCATAGACACAACCGACAGGAGCTCAATACTGCTCGCTGACGGGGTCATGCAGCCCGCGATTCGCCACGGTTTCCACCCAACACGTTGTCTTATCAAGGATGCTTCACTCGTCTAGGTCACCCGCCTGCCCTTTGAGTGCGTGCGGATTTGAAACCTCCTATTGAAAGAAAAACTGAGACAGAACTGAGGTCCTGGTGTAAACAGGGGGCAGAATCAGCGCACACTTGGTTGCTGCTTGGATGACACTCATGTCGTGGAGAGCAAGTCTGATAGAAACCTGCAGACTGTGCTAAACAGCACTTTGTGTAGCTAAGACAGCTGATGTGACACATGAAGCGAGTGTTGTGTTCTTTCTGCTTTTATATACACGGAGTCCTCCAAACTCCTGGTTTTCACTTTTGTGTTCTTTGCCTGGGACAGATTCATACTCTTAGGTGATTTGCTCCTGAAATAAGAAGGCATCTAGGAAAGAATCAGGCACTGAAGAATGGAACCTTTTATGGAGAAGTGACAAGACCTTGTTGTGTGTCCTGCCAGGTGTAGGTCAGACACACTCGTCTAGGAACTGAAGACAAAATCTTAAGGGAGCGACAATCACACTGAATTTTTAATGCAGGGAAGTGTAACTTTATTTCGGTAGAGAAATATGTTAGGTTACAGAAAATTCCTAGAAAAAAGAAGTTAGGGGAATGATTTCACCAATGGTCGGGATGAAGGGTGAAATCTGTTGTGTATAAGTGCTCAGGGCCATGTCCGTCTTCTGTGACAGCAAGACCTGGCTCGTCAATGGAATCGTGAGACCACATTCAGCTGAGTGACATCGACCGCGCTCCGTGTGACCTAACGGCCAGCACAAAAGGAGAGTCTACATCTGTGGGGACAGAGGTAAACAGAGATGGTGATCACGGGGCAGGGGGCTCAGCAGCAAGGGGAGGGGCAGCACACGGGGCGGGGGCAAGTGGAGATGACACAGGTGGGGCGATAGCAAGTGGTGTGGCAGGAGACCCTGCCACAGACTGGGCGCAGGCAGCAGGAGGGACGGCAGCAGCTGGAGCCACAGCAACTAGAACCACAGCAAGAGGGCCGGCAGCAGCTAGAAATGGAGCAGCAGCTGGAGCCACAGGTAGAGGGCTGGCAGCAGCTGGAGAGGCAGCAACTAGGGCGACAGCAGGTGGGCTGGCAACACACAGATTGGCTGCAGCTGGGGCGGCAGCAGCTGGAGATGCAGCACTGGGGCCTGCAGCAGCTGGACACACTG